ATCTTTAATGAAGAGACTCTTGAACATCCATAACTTGAGGACAAGTTATGGAGTTCACAAAACTATTTATGACAAAAAGACTCTTTATTTTGTAACCTATGGCAATTTTATGAGTTTTAAGAGTCATAAATGTGACTTGCCATATAATCTTGAGGACAAGTTACAAAAACACATTTTATGAATTACTTCTAGATCAATTTAGATTGACAACAACTAACACATAAATTTTTCATTAATCTAAATTAACTCATAAAACAAGGTAACACAAAACCTTTTGTGTTACATAACTTGAGGACAAGTTATGGAGTCCATCTAATGTCATTGAGATAAAAATTCACTCGAACAAACAATTTGCACATAATTCCTATGATCTAATAAAACTCATAAGTGTATGAACAATCATATCAACAACTTCAAGAATTACATAAACACACATAAAACTTGAAATTTTGATAACAACCTTGAAATTGGTTTACCATAATCATTACCACATCAAAAACAGGTTTTATAAGTCCAAAACAGTTTAAGGTAATGATTCTAGACCAATTCCAGCCTTAAAACTCGAAGATATGCTGTCTGGGGGTCCAACTCGTCGAGTACATGAACCAACTTGATGAGTTGGATGATTTTACACATATGAAATGATGATCCTTTTGACAATTTAGTATACGCGTTGTACTTTAGCCCCATTACATATGGTCATGTAACACCTTTTGTATGGACTAATTATATAATAGAAAGCCTGAATTTTTGTTCTATATTAACATTGCTTTATGGGTGTCTTAATAGTATACCATATGAATTGTTATACTACATAAATTGTTATATGGCCCCCAAAGTATGCAAGTTATACTGTCCACTAATTATATAATATCATGCATAAGTTGTTATATGGTCCACAAACAATTTTTAAAGTAGCATGGTCCACATATCAATTCCAGGAGGGATAAGAAACAAGGGACCATCTAATGCATAAAAATGACACAAAGGAAATTGGACCCCACAAGAGAATATATTAATAACCGAAGTGAGTGCAAAACATTACGTAACAATTCCGACATAGAATCTTTAAAAGTAAACATCCTAACATGTTTTTACTACAAATGCCAGTACAAAAGCATTACATACAAAATCCTACATAATAAAGGACACATCCCATGTAGTTCCCATGCAAAAACTATTGGATTAGATGTCTAAGCTCATAACTATTACTGGTGTGTACTTGACCTGAGAGTAGCATGGTCCATTTGGGTTGCATATCATCAGGACAATTTGTTAGGATAGACTCTTGAGAGAAGGTTATATATGATTTACTAATATATTATAAGTACTAATATATTAATATGAAATCATATGGTTTTAACTAGTATTGATCAAGTTTGGAACTTGGTTGACAATGTACCAGGTCGTAAGATAGTAGGGTGCAAATGGATCTTCAAGAAGAAGACCGACATAAATGGTAATGTACACACTTATAAGGCACGACTAGTTGAAAAGGGTTATTCTCAAACTCCAGGAGTTGATTATGATTAGACCTTTGCACCACTGGCCAAGATTAAGTCTATTAGGGTTTTGTTAGCCATTGTTGCATTTCATGACTATGAAATATGGCAAATGGATGTCAAAACCGCTTTCCTTAATGGAAAGTTGGCTAAGGATGTTTACATGGTTCAGCCAAAGGGTTTTGTAAGTACAGAATACCCTAATAGTGTGTGTAAGCTTGAAAAATCCATATATGGATTGAAACAACCACCTCGAAGATGGAATCTTTGCTTCGATGAGAAAGTCAACGAGTTTGGCTTTTCGAGATGTGAAGATGAATCTTGTATATATGTCAAGGCAAGTGGGGGTATAGTTAGCTTTTTGGTATTGTATGTGGATGATATACTGCTCATAGGAAATGACATCCCAACCTTGCAAGAAGTGAAAGTACCACCATTACACCATCAAACAACCCTATACACATTGCATCACTTAACATAGATTTAACTTGATTGCCAAATATCTAATCACCCAGCATATACACCATGAGCCAAAAACCACCTATACACCATGACCCAACATCTTACATCACCTTAACCAGCTTAAAGTACTTTACTACAAACAACAAGTAGACTAGAGCAATCAAAACAAGCTTTTTCAACATCTTCTTCAGACTTTCAATCCCAATGAGTAGTTCTTGGATCCTAGCTTCAGCAAGTTCCTTCTCAACTTTTCTAAGAAGCTTGTGCTTCTCCACCTTCTTCTACAGCTCAACGATTTGACCATTCCTAACCAAAAGGTCGTCGATCCTAAGTTTCATGTTCCATAAGGTATCCTTGTAGTGTTTTGGTAATGCTTGGTCAAGCTACTAGAAGAAGTTGCAACTATCGTTGGATATCTACAAAAGAAACCCACACACCAGAAAAAGGATTTTACTATTCATAATTTAGGGTTTTCTCGTTGTAAATAAGGTTTTTTGTCGATCAAAATAAGGGGTTTGCAGTAGAAAAATCAAAACTTTAGGGTTAAAAGTTATCGGTTGTAAACAAAGGATAGCTTACCATTGATTTTGCGCAATTATAGTAGCGACAAGCTGGGGTTTTAGGCTTCCAGGCTTCTCTAAGCTTCGACACAGGTTAATCGTGGCACAAGTAAGGAGGGATTCAATTCAACACGGTACATGGTGACAGTGTTATAGGATTCAGAGGAGGAAGACATCGTCGAAAGGGTTAGTGTTCGTCGGAGGGTAAGGAAATAGTGAGAGCGAATCTATTGAACCCTTACAAAGCTTATGTAAGACGCTGACTGGACACCCAGCTGGATTCCATAGACCACATTACATTTTACTTTCGTTGACCAACCGGGTAACAGGTAATAAAATGAAGAAAACCTAATTTTGGCAGGTAATTTGTCACTTTAGTGGGGTTAGAGGTACGAAAATTAGTTAATTGACCTTTTAAAACCAAATGGAAAACATGGTTGTGCTTCTATGTCAATAACCAAAAAAACACTAAGGTGTTGTTTGTTCTTTTGAAGTCAAAATGTCTGCAGTCTGCGGACCACATCTGCAAGCCTCTACGGCAGAAGAGGTGGACCAAATGGCTGCAGTCTGCAATAAGAAGACTGTTTGTTTTTAACGTCTGCGGGTTGTTAAAATAAATTGAATTTTTAAACTTAATTTAATGTCATAAAAATTAAAAATGCATTTTTAACAAAAAAAAAAAAAAAAAAAAAAAAAAAAAAAAAAAAAAAAGTGAACGGTGGCCCATATATATATATATATATATATATATATATATATATATATATATATATATATATATATATATATATATATAATATATATATATATATATATATATATATATATATATATATATATATATGGTTTAGGTTAAAATGAGGTCTGAAGACCTTTGAAGACAGTAGCTCATGTCTGCATCAAGAAGACCTCACGCAGACGTTTTCTGATCTGCGCACTTCCAAAAAACAAACAATTTGCGAGGGCATATGTCTGCGCGTTGTCTAAGCGGCGCAGACAAAAATGATTGCGCAGATCTTCACATAAAAAACAAACAACCCTAATTGTATCTGAGGATATAGATCTTATAAGAAAACCTTTTTGATAGGAAGAAAAGAAGTTTTTTTTTTCGGCATATTTTTTTAACGAACAAAACAAATAAACCATTAAATGAATAAAAAATAACAATATTCACAAAAAAAAACTCCGAAAAAACATCTCGATGATTCATTTTTATGATGATTTTATTTGATGTTCAGTAAAATTGTCATAAAAGTTCATTTTTTTTATTTACTTAAAAATAAATTATAAATGTATTTTTTTAGAATTTTTTTCTTATGAATCATAATTCATTTGGTTTGTTTGCTAGAAAGATATTATACATATAAAAAATTTCTTATCTTTCTATCGAAAAATTTATATATCCTAACTTTCCTAAAAATCCTACACTTCATATAATCTTACATCAGATTCTCAAATACAGATATTTTTGGCATTGCTGCCAATTACCCAACTGTTTCAACATTTATTCTAAATTTATTTGAATTTAGCTTTTTTTTTTCACTTTTTGATATCACAATATTTCGTCCCTTTGACATTGCTACTGCCTACCAATTCTGGTCCACTTGACCCATTGCCCTATCTGCCTATTTCCCTCGAATACAGGTGTGAACCGTTGACCCATTTACTATGAGTTGTATATCGGCTTACTCCATTTCCACTTTCTAATTTGGAAAGACAATTTGAATTTCTTTTTATCCCTCTTCTAAAAGAAAAATAAATATGTGTTTACTATTTACAAATATTTTGATTCAACTAAGTTTTGGGTTCATGTCAGTGGTATTTTAGTAATTTATTAGATGAGGTTGTTGAAAAAAGCAAGATAAGCTTAGATCGGTCAATGATTTGTATTAGAACAAATTATATATAGTTGTTATTCTCTCTTATCACCAAAAAAATAAAAAATATGTAGCCAATATCAATAAATAAATAAATAAATATTAGTATATTTCTTTTGAGAGTGAAAGAAATACATTAAAAAAATATCTTCCATATTGTCATTATTTAGTTTAAAAATAAAACATATTATCATAATTTTAAAAAAAAATAATACATTCTAAAATATACGTTAAAATTATATAGATAATTTACATGGGGGCTTAGAGGGAGGCGAAATGGGCAGCTACATACGGTTCAATTTTGTTCATTATATATTTTTATTTAAAAATATAAAATTATAATAAAAATAGAGCCTTTTTTTTCTTATTCGCTCAGGACCTTTAAGAATATTTCATTTTTCGGGCCCTGATAATTATTTTTATTTTTTACTTATAAACCACATACTTATTATTAATCATATTAAATTATTAATGATTAATAATATACCCCAAAACTACTGATTTTATATATATATATATATATATATATATATATATATATATATATATATATATATATATATATATATATATATATATATATTTGAAGCTTATAAAATAAAATTTTCTCTAGTGTGATAAAATAATTCTTATTAGTAACATACCCAAAAACTACTACTAACAAAATTATATATATAGGAGTGTGGGGTGTGCGCGTGAGAGAGAACAAAAGAGTGAACCTCAAAACATGGGAAAAGTAAAAGGAAAAGAGGATGAAAAAATTAACACTTATTCTTGTGCTTGTGCCATTGTTGCTTCTATGATCTCCATCATCTTTGGTTATGGTACGTACTCTCGATCTCTTTTCAAAATATGCGTGTGTATGTACTTATCTTTGTGTTTTCGTTTTTATCATATATAATATGTACGGCCTATTCTTTTTATGTTTGATAATATGCTCGATCGATCTATTAATCTTTTTGTATTCGTTTACGTAGAAACGGGTGTAATGAGTGGAGCGTTGATCTTTATTGAAGAAGACCTTAAAATCAACGACGTACAAATCCAAGTCCTTGCCGGAATCATCAACTTCTGCGCTCTTGTTGGCGCCCTGAGCGCCGGCAGAACTGCCGACTACATAGGCCGCCGATACACCATTTGCTTAGCCTCCATCATCTTCCTTTTGGGCTCGTTACTAATGGCCTTTGCACCGACCTATGCAGTTCTCTTGACAGGCAGATGTGTCGCCGGAATCGGAGTAGGGTTTGCCCTTGTAATTGCTCCGGTGTACTCAGCCGAGATCTCTGCCGCCAGTTCCCGTGGTATTTTAGCTTCTTTACCGGAACTTGGAATCAGTGTAGGAATTTTATCCGGTTATATTTCAAATTACTTTTTCGCAAGTTTACCCTTAAACATAGGTTGGAGGGTAATGTTTGCAATCGCAACTATCCCTTCTCTAGGGTTAGCTATTGGCATTCTGGGAATGCCAGAGTCCCCAAGATGGCTTGTCATGCAAGGCCGTCTTGGGGACGCTAAACGCGTCTTGTTAAAAGTGTCAAACACCAAAGAACAAGTAGAATCTCGGTTGCAAGATATCAAGCTTGCAGCCGGGATAGATCCTGACTGTACTGACGATTTTGTCAGACTGAAACATAATACGCGTGGTCAAGGCGTATGGAAAGAATTACTACTAAGACCAACGCCGCCTGTCCGATGGATGTTACTAGCTGCCATTGGGATCCATTTCTTTGAACATGCAACCGGGATTGAAGCCGTGGTCTTATATAGCCCACGGATTTTCAAGAAAGCCGGGGTTACAACCAAGAAGAAACTCTTATTAGCAACCATAGGAGTCGGTGTCACGAAGTTAATTTTTATATTTTCGTCCACGTTCTTTATTGATAGATCCGGAAGACGAAAACTTCTACAAATAAGTGTTGGAGGGATGATTGTTGCCTTATTAGGGTTAGGGTTTGCTTTAACCATAGTGCATCAATCTCATGACCAAAAGGTAGTTTGGGCACTTTGGTTAAGTATAGCTACATGTTATCTATATGTAATGTTTTTCTCAATAGGGCTTGCACCAGTTACATGGGTTTATAGTAGTGAGATATTTCCACTAAAGTTAAGGGCACAAGGGGCAAGTATTGGGGTGGCTGTGAATAGGGCAACCAATGCAACTGTGTCAATGACATTTTTATCCCTCGTAAATGCAATCACCATTGGTGGGGCATTCTTCTTGTTTGCTGGTATGTCTGTTTTGGCTTGGATCTTTTTCTTCTTTTTTTTGCCTGAGACTAAAGGGAGGTCACTTGAAGAGATGGAAGAAGTTTTCACAAGAAGCAAGAAATCAAGAAATGTAGACACGGAGTTGCAGAGTCAAAATAGTGTTGTTCGAGTGCCATAATCACAAATAAGAAGGGCAAAATAGTAACTTTGATATAGTATTGCTTACGTGTAATATTGATCGGCCTTATCTGTATTAGATTTTAGATGAAAGAAAAATAATAAAAGTATCATATTAATTATATGTTGAAAGTTGAAATGCATCACCAACTTGAAATTCCAAATAATGTGATTATGACATTATATATTTAAGAGATTAAGCTGTATAAAACGACAGGGTGTTTTTTTTTATATAAATAGATGATGTTACAAGGCCGGTAATATGCTTATTTCGGATATTTTAAAACGTGTATTCAGATATTTAATTTCTTAAAATTTAATATATGCTTAATTTGTTATATAGAAAATAATACTAGGAATCGTAAAAGAAAATCAAAAAGACAAAGTAAAAGCTCGCTAAAAACAAGATTGGATCAATACAACTATATAGGCATATGGCCACAAATTGGTCCACAAGAAACTCATAGCTAAAATAATGTCCGTACATACCCTACAGTTAAGGGTAGCCCTTGCCCTCGGACAAATGCCATTTAACTCTCTACACCATAACCTTCTCATTTTCATCACAAACCACCAAAGTCCTACAAGAATATTGAAAATAAACCAAGAAAAACAAGATTTTTCAGTCCAAATTTGCATAAATTGAAAAAGATACAAACGACCCTTATCATATAATACAAATGCGGGTACTTTGTCCGAATTTTGAAAGGGAAGATGCATTGGAGACAGTTCTTGATGTACCAATACCCGAGGAGATGTTTACAAACATGGGGACCAGTGTAAATCTTCGATGGCAAAACATGTCAACATGGATGAGGGCTCAAACGTCCGATAAATGGTCGTCTCCAATCATAGTTAATCGTTATAACGAGCTAACCTTTTTGCTATACATAGTTGGATCTCCTCTTCTTCCCCTTCAAATTCAACTAGACAATCGCACTCGATCCATTCGCAGTTCATCTATTGTAAGCAAACTCTAACACCACCTTACCTAGGGCATACAAATCTTTCTAAGTGGTACTTTTTTTATTAATTCTTTATATTTTGAATATAACACATGAAATGTTGCATTTTTTAAGGAAGCATCAACCGCGAAATATATTGTACAACAATACATGGCGGCAATCGGTGGACAACCGGCTTTAAATGCGGTACAAAGTTTATGTGCTATTGGGCAGTTGAAGATTAGCTCGTCAGACTTCCACCAAGGGGATGAAGCCGTAAAAGCAGAAAGCAGAGAGCAGACAGGTGGATTTGTGCTTTGGCAAAAGAATCCAAATTTATGGTGTTTGGAGCTACTTGTTGTGGGTTGCAAAGTTATTGCAGGAAGCAATGGTAAGATTTCGTGGCGACAGTCTTCAAATCAACTAAGACCAATATCCAAAGGTCCTCCTCGTCCTCTTCGTCGATTTCTTCAGGTACTTGTCATCAGTATCAGTATTATTGACGCATCAGTATCAGTATTATTGACGATATGAATACCATTTTTGTGGTAGCAACGATTTTATTATGGCCATAATTGTAGTTCCATTAAAATGATCTTGGAAACTTCTATAATCTTATAAAAATGATTTCAGTGCATAGATATCAAGAATAGAACAGGCGTCTGATGAAAGCCAATGTTATATGTACCACTCGATCATTTTATCTAAATATTGGGATGTAGTGGAAAGAAAACTAAAGTTGGGGCATATATATGAAATAACCAACGTCCTTCATTGGGTTCTGAAAATGATTGATCTTGACCAATTTTTTTAATATTTATTATAAAATAACAATCTATTTATAAAACAGATTTTGCAAGCAAATATTCCTTTTTTTTTTCACGTGATTAAGTTTATTTGGTAAAAATAATCATGATTTTTTTTTTTTACTTTTTAAACATTTTTTACTTTTTACTATAAAATAACAATCTATTAGCACTTGATCTTAACTTAATGAAACACAACTTAATCGGGTTTTTTACCCATACATACAATAGGACTTCATAAAAAATACGAAAATAAGTTACATTTTAATATCCAAACTTTTACAAGCTTGCATTTTTTTTATCATTCCCTTTAATATATGATTTTTTCTCAAATGTTTTTCTAAAATAATTGCCCATTTGCAGGGTTTGGACCCAAGGTCCACGGGAGATTTGTTTCTTCAAGCGGTATGCATAGGCGAAAAGGTCATAAACGACGAGGAATGCTTTATATTAAAGATTGATACAAGCCAATCTGATCTCGAGGAACATGCAGATTCGAGATACGAGATTATACATCACACAATTTGGGGTTACTTTAGCCAAAGATCGGGCCTTTTAGTGAAGTTTGAGGATTCACGTTTGCTTACTGTGAATTATGATAATGGGGATGGTGTTTTTTGGGAAACTAGTACTGAATCAGTGATAGAGGATTACAGATATGTTGAAGGTGTCAACATTGCACATAGCGGGAGAACTTCTGTAACAATTTTTAGATATGGGGAACAGTCATCAAATCATAAGAGACAATTTGAAGAAAAGTGGACGATTGAGGAGGTTCATTTCAATGTTTGGGGATTGACTAAAGATTTCTTTACACCCCCACCCGAACTCACAAAAGAGGATAAAACAACTTAAGTGCAAATTTGATAAGAAGAGGTGTTGTTTTGTAAATACGGAAAGTAGAAGGATTATACTTTACTTTTGAAGACAATATGTGAAGAGTGAAGTACAATACATGGGCAAGTTATTGGCATTAAGTTGTTGAAACGACAAGAATTTGGTTTTTGAGGAAATTTCGGTTTTTCTGTATGATTTTTCAGAATCGATAGGGTGATAGGGATGATGGTTCAACTTGGTGGACATTACTCTTTCGGAAAAAAACTTGGTGGACATTTTTGAGGGTCATTAAAGTGAACGGCATTTTGATATTTGTGCTTAAAATGAGTAAAATGAGTGGTCATAGGAAAAAAAATGAAAGCAGAATCTTACACTTAGTAGGAGGTTTTTGTTTTTTTTACTTAATAAGTTTAGTGGGTTAAGCATTTAATTTGCATTATGAAGAGCTATATATGGTTTGTTTATTTGATTTAACAGGTTAATAAATAACTTGGCTTGACGAAATAAGACTCTAACATTTTATCTATTTGTTCTTTATTTTTATTTTTTTTCTTTCCAATTCATTCTCACCCTAAAATTCATGAACATTGTGAACCTTTAAGAATGTAAGGTTAAAATGGACATTTAATCTTATTTAGACGGATCATTCCGTATATAAAAAAGACCTTATATATAACACTTTTTCAAGACATATATCATTATTTAGATTTCATTACACAACTTAATAGAGTGAAGAAAAAAACAACCTCTAAATTTTGTTTGGTACAACGGCAAGAAAAATATTGAAAGTGAAACGCATCAATACAAAGAAATGAAAGTAACATGCTATAATATACAAATTAATAAAAGTATGCTGTTATTTTTTGCAGTTAAAAATTGCAATAATCAAAAATTACAAAATGAGGTGCACTTGAGTTACTACTGGATTCAAGTTTAGTTGTTTATATCACCATCACAACCAAATTTAGGCAACGTAATAAGTATTATTGTAAAGTGTGAATCGTTAATTGGGGAGCATAAGGATCAAGATCAATGGAATTGACAAACATCGTAGCGATCTAGGTCGTCGTGACTCATAAACAGGGGAGTCATCGGCGATATCGTATGAGAAACGGTTAGGCAAGCCGAAAAACTAACATGGTCCTGAATTTCATCTCATAGCATGTCGTGGTAGCGGGTCCTCCTCATATCCTCATCTCCCGCATACTGGGGCACCAGCAATGCCCTCTCCTGGAACTTGGCAGTGATCTCCGCCATAGTCTTTGTGGTTCGCCTCATATCCAAGAGCTCCCTGGCCAGCCTCTGAAGCTCCACAGCTGGTGCAAACTCCGCCTTGAATCTGGTCACAAAGTCTGACCATGTTGTAGCCTTAACAGCCGAGGCTCCCAATGAGTCACCAACAGAATCCCACCAATCTCTGGCCCTGTCTCGCAAGCATCCTGCTGCATATCTCACCTTCGACCCCTTCGGGCAGAAGCTCGTCAGCTGCGCAGACTCAATGTCTGTGATCCATCTCCTAGCGGAAATAGGTCATTAAGTTGGCCTTCATCTGACGAACCAGATCCATCCTCAACTAGCCGAGTTGATGAACAACTTGCAGAGTTCTAAGGAGATTGCCTTGGACTCGCCGAGTCCGTTCATGCACTCGCCGAGTACCAGGAATTTCAAGAACAGTTTGCTTAGTCCAGAAGGTTGGGTTACTCCATGGGACTCCCTAAAACCTTTCCACACTCAACTGGTCCTTTTGATACTCGCTGATATGAGACAGAACCCTTGGACTCGTCGAGTCCAAGAATGGACTCGTCGAGTTGGTCACATCCCCTACTTAAAACTTTGATTTTTGATGTACAACACTTGTCCAAAAGATAGATCTAAGCCCCTAAACTCGATCTAGCACGTAAAGTTACAAACTTTACGTGTATGCATGGGACTTTTGAGCTTAAAAGGCCCTAAATGGTCCTTTTGTTGCATGGGGCCTTCCTTGGCTGCAAAAGCAACCCAAATCTATCTTGTGACTCCAATAATGACATGATCCAGAAGCTCAAACCCCCAACCATGTTTACAAACATGGTTGGCCACCAAAAATGGCTTATAAAAGCCCTAAATCACCTCAAAGAGGGATCTAACAAATGAATGAACAAGGCTCAGACTTTATACCTTCGGTAGACTGCAAATGATGAACCAAACTCGAATCCTTCAGTCTCCTCTTGATCCTTCTATGCTCTTCCTTCTTCCTTGAGGTCAAAACTTCACAAGAATCACTCCAAAGCCTTAGATTTTCTCAAAAACGGCTAGGGTTTGCTATGAGAAGTGTTTGGGTGCATAAAGGGTGAATGGAGGTTGCATAAGGCTGCTTAAATAGGATGCAAACCCCTGGATTAGGGTTTTAGTTCAAACAGCAGCTACTCGTTGAG